TTTTATCCCCGGAAACTAAACGAATTGGAAACAAAAAACACCCATTAGAAAGAGGAGAAAAAGCTGCATCGAATGACACTCGAACTGCTCAAGGTTTGATGTTCTACTAGGATTTAGCTGTCCAAGTATGGAAATCGGTAGCATCAGTTAAAATTCTGTTAAAAATGTATGACAAGCTATGGAAAAGAGAAAAAAGTTGCACTGTATTCTATGAGGTTTGCTCTATCGAACTATCAAATGAAGTTCTTCTGATAATTGATATGAAAGCTTTAAAAAATTGTGAAACTTGAATCTCTCAAAAAGCATAGGTTGCAGATTTTGGTTATTTTCTGAAAGCTCATTGACTGTTTTGCAACATTCTCATAACCATTAGAAAGAGAATGAAATTCTGCATCGAATGCACCCAAGGCCTCCTAGAAACCTTTGTTCCATCAGATGTGGCGGCCGTTTGAAAAAAGCGAGATTACTTTCGGAATGACCTAATATTATACACATAAATGACTTACGTAAGAACAAAGAACTGGGTGGTATAAAGTAAACCATCTTCTTTTTTGCGCGGGTAATCAATAACTATGCAAATTTATCTAATTTCTGAGTATCTAACTTCAAGCATCTTCGAATGTATTTCAATGACTAGGCAAAAACAACGAGCTCGCATATCCAGGCATAATTGCCGTAACGCTTCGAGTCTACTCTAGCTGCACAGAGCGGAAGTACTGTAATAGCTACTTGTTGAGGTTTCACGATGCACGAAACGGTTTGTTACTTAAGGAACATTCTGCCTGCGAAACTTTGAATACATACTATGCTTTGTCGAGCACTCTATGGCTTAGTTGCTCATCTACTATGAAGTCTGTACAGCTTTCTTGCTTTTTTCGAAAAGCGGGGAATGCAAAAGGAATGACACCTGAACCTGTAGTTTATGAAAATAAACGCATAGGAAATAGAGTTCTATAAAAATCAAAGAACTTTATAATTAAGAGAATGGGATTCCAATTTTATGTACACGTTGCGGAGAATTGTTTCCGAGCCAGCACATAATATTTACGAAAAATCACTTATAGTCATGAAAAAAACTTATAGTAAATATATTGCAGGAAATTTGCGCAGTACACAAATACTAGTTTACACATTGGATTGATAAAGAAAGTGTTGTTTAAGTGGACAAAGAAGTCTTTGAATAAGAACAAGCAATAACGAACAAATAACATCTTCATTATAAATGGAAACTCCAAATGTATACATGTAAAAGCTTCCCGCATTAATGCTTTCACCCAATTCAACACAAACTTGTGCCTTTGCACGCAGATAATTTTTTCCATTACGCTTTCTCCAGTATTACTAAAAAGCGTGACCTAATCGTTCAAAATGGAACTTCTTTGAGTTTTGACAAAATGAGCATTTTTTATTTTTGTGAAGGAAGCTTTGTCAATCAACGTCAAGCAATTGTTTTATCTCTATCTTCATCATAGGTGTTTACCATAGGTGCGATAAGGTGAAATGACCCCTCGAGGGTGAAGGGGGTCAGAGCGGTCGCAGCCCCTCTGGGTGAAGGGTGTTTCACTTGGTAGAGAAATTTTAAAATGTCGACCGAGGGGAGCGGGGGGGGGGAAGACATGGTGTTCTCTCATTACTTTTTCAGTCAAGTTTATAATTTTCAACTCTTTGCCATCACTGGTTGTCTTTTCTCCGAAATGTGAACCGATGTGCTCCTCAAAGAACTCGAACAGGGTTTTTTTGAATCCGCAGTCTTGCGCTCCCATACCGTAGAGTTATAAAGCGAGTCACATGCCGTTCGAGAGTTCTTTACGCCCCTTCAAGAGATTTATTGTACATATTCCTTCCTTTTATTTTTAGGTAAAAAAGCAAAACTTGAAAAATTGCGAATTTTTGGCGCAATGAAAATCAAAAACTCATGTTTCAATCTTTAATTTCTGAAGATAGGAGAAATTTGAGGTAAGCAGCTTATGGATGGATAGAGCTTAGGAAGCTCTATCAGATGGTGGCCAGAAAACATGCGTTTACTTGCAAAGAAGTAAATAACACGCATCTTTGTTTGCAAATGCTACTGACTATATCTCCTTACTCATGACTGACATCTCATGCGTTACGACCAGCAAGCCAGTGGGTTCGGTAACTGTAGCTTACCCATTGCAGCAGTGGTCCTATGGATGATTTCGCATGTTTCACTGCGCAGATACTGCTACAAGTTCCTAATTTGCGAAGTGATTAACTTTACATTTCAGCAAGTATAAGAGTTGTTAGGTATGTGAATGACCTTATATAGGCACTGTGCAAAAGAGAATAATATACTCTAATATCTATCGAAATTAGAAAGTTCATCGCTTTTCTCTCTTGAGAAATTTACAATTATTCTCAAGGTGTCCCATTTTTCACCTTTCACCCTAATATTTTTCGATACATTTTTCCTTTTCTCTTTTTTTACATCACTCTGCCTGTTTTTAAAATTACCGTAGAAGATGTGCATGCGTGAACATTTGTTTCGGAAAGAGTAAGACAATTTTTAAGCATTTGCGAACTTTCGAAAAGAAAAATTCTTAATTTTTGTAGATGAACAGCAACGTCCAAGAAAATTGTGGTCAAAACTATCTTATCCTCCGCCTTCGAAGAATGTACAGTTTTTCTAAAGTCTGATAAAAAAGGTGCCCGGTGGAGGATGGGGGTAGTGATTTCTGAATATTTACGAGTTTTTAGGATAAAAATATCTGCAACTCCTGGCTGAACAACTTGTACAAGCAGACCGACGGAACGCCTTGTTCTCCGCTTTCACAAAATATAAAAAATGTCTGAGATCCGTCCGAGAAAGTGCCTGGGTGAAGGATGTGCTTAGTGATTTGTGAAGATTTTCGAGTTTCTAACATAAACAAATTCATAACTTTTGCAGATGAACAGATAGAACATGGAAGATGGTCAACTTGGAACCGCCTCGTCTTCCGCTTTTAGAAAATATATACCTTGCCTGGAGTTCCTTGGAAAAAGTGCCTGGTGAAGGGTGGGGGAAATGATTTTAGGATATTCACGAGTTCTAAGGATAAAAAAAATTCATAACTTCTCAGATAAACAATTTGTACAAAGAAATAGTTACCATTGGAACTGCCTTTTTCTCCGCTTTCAAAAAATATATAGTTTGCATGGAGTCTTTGAAAAAAGTGCCTGGGTGAAGGGCATGCCTAATGATTTCTGGAAATTTCGAGTTTTTAACATAAAAAAACTCATAACTTTTGTTGATGAATATCATGTACGCTTAGATGGCCACCTGGAATTGCCTCGTTTCCCGCTTTCAGAAATTATAAAGCAAGTTTGGGGTCTATCAAAAAAGGGCCTGGTGAAGGGTGGATGAGATAAAACCTTTATTAGGTTGTACCGAAAGTTCGTTCGCACCATTTTCAAAAACTTATAACTTCTTCTTTTTTACCGATTTGCATGTTGCCCATTTTATGTGAAAGAGCAAGTTATGCTCTTCACAATGACATTTCAGCAGCTTACTAATGGTCATTTGTTGCATAGATAGGAGCGATAGAAGAAAATCGGTCAAAATTTGAATTTTCTGTGTAGGGTCATAAAAAATCGGAAACTTGCAACAAAAATCGAAGCAGTCGGTATTATAGGTTCTTTCACCAGTTCTTTCTAATAGTGCAGAGTTTTCGCCAATTGAAGATCTCTATGAAAATTTACGATTTTTCTGATGTCAAAATAAATCAAACTCGCCATTTTGTATTGCTTGCTCGAAATCATAACTTTTCATAGAGACGCTCGATCAGCGCAAACTTTGCACAATTGGGAAGAGCTCGTGAAAACTATAATACTGACTGCTCCGGTTTTCGCTGCAGATTTCAGATTTTTTATGACCCTACACAGAAAGTTGAAAATTTGAGAGATTTTATTTTACCGCTTATATCTACGCAGTGTATGCTCGTTGGAATGCACTAAGACAGCGCTATGAAGAGAACTTGCTTTTTCAGATAAAAATGAAAACACGCAAATCGGTTAAAAAAGCAGAACTTATGAATTTTCGAAATTGATGCGAACGAACTTTTGGTACAACCTAATATATAGGAAGTTCTCAGGCGGAGGCTTTTTTACCAATGTAGAAGAACGTCTACTTGAGAACTTCCGTTGTAAGGGTCTCACCCACCCTTCACAAGGCAAATTTTTGACAGACTCCAGCACCAGTATATATTTTCTAGAATTGGAGGACGAGACGGTTTCAATGGTGACCATGGCGTACAAGATGTTCATCTACAAAAGTTATGAATTTTTTATGTTGAAAAATCGAAAATCTCCAAAAATCACTAGGCACACCCAGCACTTGGACGGAACTTGGACATGCCATATATTTTCTGAAAGCGGAGACGAGATGGTTCCGGCGGCGACTATTTCCTTGTGCAAGTTGTTCATCTACAAAATTCATGAAGTTTTTTTGTTGAAAACTCGCAAGTGTCCAAAAATCATCAAACACACCTTTCACTAGGTGCTCCTATGAACGGACTCTAGGCAAACTATTTATTCCCTGAAGCCAGAGGGAAACGTTGTACTACGGAACTTTTCTCGCTGACCTTGCTGTGCAGCTATAGAAGCTACTATTTTTTTCCTCCTCGAAATTCGTGAATGCTTTAAATCTTCTTCCTCCTTCCCGATACAAAAACAAATCCTGTACAAATTCTACTTTGCTTAACCTTAAATCATTCTTAATTTTTTCTTCTCGACTTTTGGTGAAGGGGGTTACCTTGGTCCCTGTTCAGGTGTGAAGGGAGGGTGACAAAAATTTCACACTATCGCACTTATAATGACTGCCACTCAACCAAATGTTGGTTGAGTATACTGACAATCTTATACCATTGATTGATTCAAACTTACACACTTTGTTTAGATTCTTTGAGCATTCAGCTATATAAACCCGGAAAGGCAGCATTCCACGTTTGCATATTAAGCTTACTTCAACTATTAAAGGTTGTCTGGTTTCCAAATGAGTCCTCTACCTTGAAAGAGCAACAAGTTGGTGCATAGTAATCGGCGGTATCAAGAACAAGTGGTTGATCTCGCTGAACACCACTAAGGTTTGCGCGCATTTTAGCAGCCTATTTGTTCGCATATGAAAAAAGAAGAGAGTAAAAAAGAGCCCAATATTTCTATTACCTGACTAGTTGGAGTATCCGGCTCTCAGCTCCTGTCAACACATTATGATTAATAAATACACCTTTGGCTTCACTTTCAGACAACATCTGCCTTTCCCTGTCCAAATTCACGTGCCATTTGTTGCTCCTCATTGCGTTGGCGTACCCAGAATTTCGGCTTGGGGGGGGGGGGGGACAAAAAATTTTTTACGATGAAGGTGCGTGGCGTCAGCCACGCTCCGAAAAACTTTTTGGTATGCTCCCTAAAATTTTCGGGGGCTCAGGACCCCGAAATTTCAGAAAAAGGGGCGTGGCGTCAGCCACGCTTCGAAAAATTTTTTATAAGGCTAAAATAAATTCTTGAAAATTTTTAAAAATTATTTTAATTACTTACAAATGCGGACAAGTCATTTGCACAATTTTATAACCCATATAATAACTTTCAAAAATTTCGCGACCTTTCTCGAAGGGGGGGAGGGTCGCAATCATTGCGACCCTCCCCCCCCCCCCCCGAATCACCTTCCCCATTTACCAACCAATGCCACAGAATTTCCAAAATGAAAAAACAGTATTCACAAAAGATATTCTGTCAGAGTAATATAACTTCTCCCACACAATGGTCGGCCGCCTCATCGTGGCATGGAAGTGATGAAGGAGTGGTGCGACGTGTCCGGTTTCGGTTGGATGCCTAGCTAAGAGCCTGCCAAACCAGATCCTTATCCGCCTGGTTTTCCGGTTCTCTCCGATCCACAATCGGGTCAGCGATCACCGTGCGGAACTCGAGAGTAGGCCTAATAAGTCTTGTAGGGGAACCACTAATATTACTCCGCCAGTTAGAGGCATAGAAAGGAACTTTGCACATCGGATCTCGCTATGTTGGTAGCAAGACCGAAGTCAGGGTCCTCACGGCGCCTTTTGAATTGGACAAAAACGACACGTCTGCCCGGACGACACGCCATGGAGAGGAGAGTGCCGCATGCTCTGCACCTATAACGCCAGGACAGTCTCCACAAATGCCGACTTCTACGCTCTTCTCGACGCTGCAGACTTCAAGCACCACGTCATCGCTCTGCAGGAAACCAAGTCTAGGAAGAAGGACGTGCGACAGATGAGTGATGTGACCCTTGCCATTTTTTTTGAGAAGGATACCATCACGAAACGTTGGAGGCTTTCGCCACCCATCCATCTTTCGTCCATCGTCCATCTTTCGATCCGCATAAGATCCTATCACCTTGATTAGCCATCCTACGACCTCCACGTCAGAACCAACAGCATTATTAACTGCTACTCGCCAACATCAGCAGCTGACGACTCAAAACTGGATGCTTTCTGCGAAGACATGGAGGAGGTCGTCCAACGAGAAGTCCTTTTATTAGATCGTTTCATAAGTTCGCCGCGTTTTCATTTTCATCCTCATATATCTGAGGAGCGGTTGGTTTGCGGCAGGGTGTGTGCATCATTGGAAATTGTTTATTGTGCCCTTCAGAAGCATATTGATATGAAGATCAGAAATTGGGCAGGGGGGCAGGGTGTTTCTGAGCAAGACTTTTTGGGGACGGGCAGGACATCCTGCACTGAAAATTGCTGGACAAGTAGGCGATGGTCAACCAATCCGTAAGCAATCCAACTGCATCGTCTAAACCAGGTCCCACCGCAGAGAAAGGCGATAGACAGACCCAGTGAGTTTTTCTGCATGACGAAATATGGCCTCATACGGCAAGCGCCGTCAAAACTGTTCTGCAAAGCGTACTCTTCAAACCTCGCTCTATCAGATAATCATTTGCTCCGCTCTTTGGCAAATCCTAAAATGGTGCATGCCAAATTCAGTAAGTAATTTGAGCATAATATGTGAATTTCTTGAAACTCGGCGCGCTACCACTCGAAAAATTATGATTGAGAAGCCAACAGGAATGCGCCATAAGATTGTGGAATATAATATTGATTGTTACGTAAATCGATGATTGTGTTGGTTCATAAAAACGCTACAATCCTCTGAAAGGACCTGATACGTTTGTTGGGTGACTTCAGTGCGAAAATCGGGATGCCATTAAAAAAGGAATATAAGGTCAGGATTGGGTATGGGTTCCGAAATGAAAACGCAACCGTCTCCTCTGCCGCACGATTTTTTCATGAAATATTTTCATAAAAAAAGAACGCCGGTAGACATGGAAATTGCTGAACGGAAGGAAGTCGTTTATGACGTAACAGGAGGAACAGCTATTATCAATTTGTGACTGGCTTATAGAGGAGGAGGACTACGACCGGCTTCCAAAAGGATTGCACGCCTGCGAAAAGTGCGCCTAGTGACTTCTGGGAAGAACTTGGAATTATTGAAGACCAACAAGGAATTGTTCGAAAGAAAAGAAGATTTCTGAGGCAGCATCCGAATGCAACCCATCTCGAGCGGCTGATAGTCAACGCCACTTGCAGAACTGCTTTGTAGGAGGATCTTAGGAAGTACAGGCAAGCCAAGATACTGGAAGCAGCCGAAGGAAGACGAAGTCTTAAAAAGTGCCAAAGGGACCTTTGCAATATCACATACCGCTCGCTGCACTATTAAGTGAAGACAGGACTCCGACTTTTCCCGATATAAGATGGAATCTATTGCGAAGAACTTCAACACCAACCTCTTCCGCTCATGAACACCCTGCCGATGCCCTTCGTTCCCACTGAAGAAGTACCCCACGAATTTTACCTGCTGAAGTGCGCACGTCGATTTAGACCATAAGGACATCCACGGCTCCAGGGCCAGACCATCTTTCCGTTGAATTTCTGCAAGCAGGAGGACAGCGTCTACACGAAAATTTCACGTCGCACCTGACATCTTATCTTCAGAAGGAGAGGATTCCCGACCAATAAACGTGAAGGACCGCCCTTCTTTTTAAAAAGGGTGAACGGGATGATCTTCGAAACCACGGTCCAATATGCCTGCTGAGTGTGCTGGACAAGCTTTTCACGAAGATTATCCTCTCTCGCATATCTAAAACACTGGATGAATCGCAACCTCAAAAACAAGCTGCATTTCGCAAAAGATTCAGATGCATGGACCAAATCCAGACGGTTTCAAGGGTCATAGATGTCTGCCGGGAGTACCGACTGCCGCTCGTCCTAATCTCCGTCGACTAGAAAAAACCTTTGACAGCGTCGAGACGAAAATGCTATTTAGCAGCGCTAAATAGTCCATTAAGGATAGACCCAGCTTACGTGAGGACGTTAGCTGACTTCTAGAGGGACAAGATATAGCTGTTCTATCCCCTGACCATCCCGATAAAGGTGTTCTGAAAAGGCAACACAGACTCACCGAAACTGTTCGCTGCGGCCTTGCAGTGGTTAATGAAGTCACTGGATTAGGACGAAAGGCGTACGAGTTGATGGGAAATTCCTGTCGAACTTTCGTTTTGCAAACGATATCGTTCTTTTTTCAAACAGTATCACTGAAGCAGAGATGATGCTGAATTAACTAAACGAAGTAGAAAAAAAGATAGAATTGCTAATAAATTGGAAGAATACTCAGTTCATGAAGAACGCCTTTTGCCAAAATGCAGAAATTGTTGGAAGGCACCCCTATTACAGAGACGTCTTCTTACGTGTATCCAGCAATAGCGTACCGAAGCCCCCCCTTTGAAAATGGGTTTTCTGCAACTTGCAGGTAACATGTTTTCATTTCTTATAGCATTCTTAGCATTTCCTAGAAGACTAATGTTTTGAATTTTATCATAATTGTCTTAGTCAATCAAAGCCGCGACAAAGCATTGTTGACACACTCACCCAAACATATGGAAAGACTGCTATCTATGTAGAGGTTATAAAGTCAAACTATGTATAAATGCTCGTGGTTCTGTATACGCTTTGCCTATCAGCTCATCAGCCAATAAAGCTTCGTCCAAGTCCTTTGAAAGTCCAAACAAGTGGCGACCACGGCACGAATTTTATCATAATTGTCTTAGTCAATCAAAGCCGCGACAAAGCATTGTTGACACACTCACCCAAACATATGGAAAGACTGCTATCTATGTAGAGGTTATAAAGTCAAACTCTATATAAATGCTCGTGGTTCTGTATACGCTTTGCCTATCAGCTCATCCAATAAAGCTTCGTCCAAGTCCTTTGAAAGTCCAAACAAGTGGCGACCACGGCAACCGAGGACCTCCCACTTCTTCACTTCAGGAGGAAAAAGTACGTTGAACAAGCCTTGATCCTACTGAGCAACGATGTCGACAAATGATAGTGCCCGCATAAGGCGTCAAATCGGCTTTTTTAAGAAAAAAATCCAACGGCTTTTCTCAGCAGCGCAGCTCTCTCTCACAGAATACGATATCCTTATACCACACCAAACTTTCAAAAACTTGATGATGATGAACTCGAAACTCTACGCCTCGAAATCACTTACTCAAGATGAAGACCGTACTCAACCACCACGAAGCATTTTGTTTACCAACACTCAAACACCGTCCGCGTCCCAGCCTTTCATGGTCAACTCTTCCACAGTCAATCCCGTCATGACTAATAGTCTCGCAACGAACGCTTCTTTGATGAATTTTGTCGATGCGTCCATTTTGAGTAAGCTAGAGCTGCCCACATTTGACGGCAATTTTTTGGAATATCCAGAATGTGCGTGAAGATTTGCCACACTCGTCGAAGACAAAACCCAGCTTGATGATATCACGAAATTTTCACTCCTCAAGTCATGTTTGCGCGGTCGCGTTTTACAAACCATTTAAGGCTTATCTATGACTCCAGAGAACTATAGAATCGCAATGGACATTTTGAAAACACACTTTGACGACAAGGTCACAATGAGACATATCCTCTACACGGAGCTTGCCCAACTTCCAAATTGCGATCCCGAGGGCCGAAACCTCCTAACACTATACAATCGTATGTTTGCGCTGATACGACAATTTTCCGTCAACAATGATGATTCTCAAGAAACAGCACTTGGTGCCATACTACTGAACAAATTACCAGCCCGCGTTCGAAGCAGAATCTACGACAAAACAGCGAATGATCACAACCTTTTTCCAACCGAACTTCTCCATCTGCTCACCGACATCGTACGTAAGGATATTACCCTATACGAGATGAACTTTCATAGCAAAACGTCCAACACGGAACAAAGCCCGTACGTCAGCTTCAACACTTCTAAATACCAGAAAAACACAAAAAGATCTCGCACACAACAGCAAATGAAACCAAGTCCTTACTGCGAGCAAGTCAACCACTCCGCAGTCTCCTGCGACGTATTCCCGACTCCATACCACCGCAATCGCCGAGCAAAAGAACAACGCCTGTGTTACAATTGCCTATCCAAATATCATTCAACAAAGGAATGCACGTCGAAACGAAGCTGTAAATACTGCAAACAACGTCATCACACATCCATGTGCTTTTCCCAGCCTCAGCAACAACTTCAACAACGACCACAAACAGACACGAGGAATCGCCGAAATGACAAGCTGCATAAACCACGAACGTATCCTGAGCGGCAACATTGCGCAAATGTCACCGTTGAAGAAGCCCCCATATCTACTCCTGTGCTAGAGAGCAGTGAAAATACGACCCCAATAACAATCACTTGCAGCTCCACATCACCTCCAGATCAACAGCCCAAACCTAGAGTGGCGCTCATGTGTGCTACCGTCAACCTCTACAATCCATCAAATGCTTCTCTTCGAGTACAAACAACAGCATTTCTCGACTCCGGCTCAAGTCATTCCTATATCACCGATGAAATATTCATCACTCTCCCCCAAAGACCTGCAGAAGGAATTATCTGGACCAAAAGAAAAATCCTGAAAGAAATAGCCGGCATCTACGACCCCCTAGGTTTCATCACTCCTGTCACACTCCTCGGAAAACTACTCCTCCAGTCTCTCTGGAAAATCGAACTTAAATGGGACCATCCATTACCAGGAGAAAAGGTTGATGAATGGAAAGAACTTACTGGTCAATAGACATCACCTATATTGAAGCTGAAACGCAGACTACTCGAAAACTGTGACAATTCAACCATGCAGTTCGATCTTCATGTATTTACCGACGCTTCAAAAAAACGCTTTTTGTGCAACAGCGTATCTTGTTCAAATCTTCGCGAAGCCTCCACACAAAGTATCATTCATCATGTCAAAGTCGCGCCTAGCCCCTCTGCGTCAGTCGGTTACCATACCACGACTGGAACTATCCGCTTTTGTCATAGGTACAATCAGCACTGTGGTGGCATGGTCTAGAAATCCTCACTCAAGATAAATCAGACTGGTTCCCATCTCCTGAAGGATTACTAAAGGAAACCACTCCCTCACCAGGACGACAGCAACTCAAAACATCAGAGACCCAGACCCCTTTGGTGTCACTACCAACCAACATTGCACAACTCACAACAGCAGAGAAGACGAAAAGTTCACCGTCATTTGTCGAAACATCCAGATTCAGCACTTGGAATTCACTACTACTAACAGTCGTCTTTGTTCTACGCTTTCTTGTATTGAAATCGAGAAAAGCAGCAAAACACTTTGGGACGTCTGGAGCAGTACTTCGTAACAGAGCGGAAAGCATTCTACTTCGTCTCGCCCAAAATCAAGATCCACCATCGGGCGATCATATGAAACAATTACACCTGTTTAGGTGTAAGACGACGTCCTTATGGAGATCAAAAGGACGTATTGAAAATGCTCTTTTAGCAGAGGAGACCGTTACGCCAACATTTCTTCCTATCAAAAACAGAATCACCGCTCTTCATCCTTCATACGCATACAATCAATAACCATTGCGGAGTTAACCATACTCTAACGGAACTACGACAAAAAGTATGGATTCCCAAAGGGCGCTCAGCAGTCAAGAAAGTAATCTCCAATGATTGCTTTCACTGCAAGAAATACCGTGCCAAACCTTTTGTACTTCCACCATTTCCTATGCTACCTAAAGAAAGAGTGGTGAGACCACATTATCCTTTCGAAAATGTGGGAATGGACATTTTCGGTCCGCTCTCTTATCGGACTAATGATAAGATGATAGAAAAATATTGGGGACTTCTGTTTACCTGCCTAAATACACGCGCAGTTCATGTCGATGTCATCCTTGCATGACAACCCGCACGATACTACACACATTACGACGTTTCATCGCCGCCAATGGATGCCCAACTTGGATAGTGTGCGACAATGCTCAATCATTCAAATCGATTGCTGAATGTTACTCACTGTCCGATCAAGCTAACATTGATGAAGATGTCCTGGATTACTGCGCTCAAAAAAGGATACAGATGAAATTTATACCAAGCTTGAGCCCTTGGCAGGGTGGCTTCTATAAAAAAATGATAGACATTTTCAAGAAATCCTTTAAACATGCAATTGGAAACAACTTGCTAGATATTGAAGAGATCATAACCCTTTTAAAAGAAGCACAAGCTATCGTGAACACTCGACCATTAACGTACATCACTGATGATCAAGATTATCTTCCCCTACGACCAATCGACCTCCTTCACCCATACGCAAAACTAGCTGGATCCTATCCAGAAGAGACATCAGACGAATGGGCCCCAATCACAACAACACGAGAAACACTATTGTCGCAATGGAGAATCACCTCAGAAATGCTCACTAGATTCTGGAAACGATGGAACTTTGAATACCTTACTTCTCTTCGCGAGCGATACAAAACGGAACACGAACAACCAAGATCACACGAACACAATCAACCCAACAACGGCGATTACGTAATCGTTGAAGACGCAAATTTAGATAGAGGATGGAAAATTGGCCAAATCATTGGATCACGTGATGATTTTAAACGATCAGTGCAAATACGACTACCATCTAAACGAATAATAACAAGGCCCAACAATATGATATACAAACTGGAAATCAAATCCGCAAAACCACCTCAAACGGAACCTCCTTCAACAAACCCTGCTCCGTCCCATCATCATATGGTGACGAGATCAAAAGCCAGACAACAAGCAGCGAATGTATTACTATGTGTAACTTTGCTCTCCAGCATCCATTTCGCCAATACCATCAATACGCGCTGCCCCGACGAAATAAACACGGAGAAAACAGTACTTTACGCAACTCACTGCGCACGAAAAGGAGTTGCAGTCGCAAAAGTACGAATAGAAAATAAGGAAAAGCTGTGCTGGTTCCCCATCTACTGCCCACACGGAGCAATACATTTTCAACATTCATCAGAAACAAGTACATCACTGTGTGGAAGAAAATGTGAGTGCCCGCAATGGTCATCGTCATGCTCCTATACCAATAGTTACCGAAAAGAAATGTCCAACTTCGCTTCTCTCCCTTTCGCTCTCTCACACTACCAACCATCACACGTATGCTCCTTCGAACCATCCTCGACATGCGACCAAACACTACGCATCGGCACTTTCAATCAAGTGCAATTATTCGACAACACTACGATATTAGTTGAGCATCTCGATATCAACATTCAAGATTATATTGATGAAGACGATGTCATATGCGTGGAACGCAAAGGATGGAGAAGAGATCCAACAAACGCACTTTCAGGAACTTCAACATTCTGCAAGAGACATCACTGCGAAGAAAAGGCACGATTATTTTGCATATACGACAACCCTCTCGCAACGCTTGTCGTGAAGGACTCATTACACACCACGCCACCGATCGTATTGAAGGCATGGGGAACAATTACAAAAACTTATTACGGACATGCAAAAACCCCTTCAACCACGCAAACTCCATTAGAAGTGGAATGTTCTCAAGGAGGAATTTCAGTGACCAGCGAAAAACAAATCGAAGCAATTGAAGTGTGCATCGCAAACTACTGCACAATTTCCACCGTAAATACATTCCAACGTATGCTCTTTCCGAATTCCTTAGTCACATATGACTATACGGCAAAAGTGCAAGCGTTCCACAAAGGTCAAAGAATTTTTGAAATCAATATAACGTGCAAAGCCTCTCCAATATGCGAAACCATACAATGCACGGCCTGTTGGGAATGGATTCACAACTCACAATGCTGGAGTTATCCTAAATGGAGTTATATCGTTGTTTTCATAGACATGGTCACAATATCAGCACCCCTTCTTTGCTGTGTCATGAAAGGAACCTACTACCTACTCACATTCTCATGTAGGATTTGGAGAAAACTGCTGAACAGCTTATGTACACTCTGTACAGGAAAGCCGAAAAACGTTTTTCCGCGCAAGTACATCAGCAAACGGAAACGAAACACTAACCGCAGGCTCCTGACATGTACAGTCTTGATATTGCTACAAACACATGGAACGCGGCATTGTTCACAATTCACCCCCATCACCGCAAAGGAAGGAACCTGTACGATACAAGGCACTAAGGAAACCTGCATTTTCAATGAAGCAACGCTCATTACACTTCAACCCCTCAAACAAGAAACGTGCTTGGGACTATATGACAAAAATCATATCAACGTCGGTATTATCTCCATCACCCTTGACAGCATACGATACAAATGCAACAAACGGATCGAATTCTTCTCTAGAGACCACGAACTTGTCTCGGAGTCAAGTCATCGATGCTACTCAGCAGGAAGCTGCACCGAAAACGCATGCGATAATACCAAACCAACGGACAAGCTAGAAGAATTCTCTTTCACAGCCAACAACAACCCAGGGTATACATATTGTGCTTCGAGCTGTGGATGCGTAACATGTAATGGCTGTTTTCTATGCAATCCCAGCTGTCTCTTCTATCGTGTCTACGCCAAAACAACATCACCTTCTATCTACACTATCTTCAACTGTCCTAGTTGGGACTTTTCGGCGATCGCAAAATTTAGCCTGACCCAAGAGAATTCCGTAACATCAGCTACATTACAACTCAATCCTGGACACACTACCACCTGGAACAATTTGCATGTCACCCTTATCGGCTCCGTGACACCGCAACTTCCAATTCTATCGTCTACATTCATCACGGATGGAAGGAAAGTCGCAATTGTTAAACCTACTAGCAAAGGTCAATTGATTCCACACACGGTAGGACATCTCCAATGCTCCTCTATGGAAGATGCCAGAAACTTCAACTGTCAATTTTCCAGTAAGGCCTGTACCTGTACGGAAGGTTTGCTCAAAGCTTCCTGTGTATGCAGCAAAGGGGACCTCGAAAGACTCATGCATGTGATGCCTCTACCGCAAAAAGCGAAAAATTTTCACATTTACGAAGAAAACAAAGATATCTACGCCAAAATCAACCTTGGTTCTGCCTTACAGCTACATTTAGTAGCAGAAAATTTGAAAATTACTTCAGAAATGCAGAAGAGCTCCTGCACTGTCGAGACAGGTGACCTACATGGATGTTACAGCTGCGCATCTGGAGCAACGATAGAAATCATTTGCACGAGCAATGAAGGAGAAACAACCGCTACTATTGAATGCGCCACGCAAAGCCAAACTGCAAGATGCACAACGCAAGGCCACTTCAATAGTCTTGTTTTCCATTTTGACAACGACATAGTCTCAACTACATGCACTTTCACCTGCCCAAATACAAAGACGAACATTACCATTCGAGGAAGTTTGGAGTTTTCAAAGGCGATTTAATCAAAGCCGACGAGTGGATTGACAACGAAATAAGAAAACTACCGTCAGACATTTCAGCGATCGAAAGCTTACTCAACACTATAATCGAATATACTCATTCATTTTCCACCCTTTTCAATTATCTCAAGTATGCTATCTTTTTGATATTTGCAATGTTTCTCCTCTCTTTCCTACTTCGAATCAAACGATGTACATTTTCTTCAAATTTTACGAAAAAACACCAATGATTTTCCGTCGTGGGAGTTTCTGCAACTTGCAGAATCGTAACATGTTTTCACTTTCTTATAGCATTCTTAGCATTTCCTAGAAGACTAATGTTTGGAATTTTATCATAATTGTCTTAGTCAATCAAAGCCGCGACAAAGCATTGTTGACACACTCACCCAAACATATGGAAAGACTGCTATCTATGTAGAGGTTATAAAGTCAAACTCTGTATAAATGCTCGTGGTTCTGTATACGCTTTGCCTATCAGCTCATCAGCCAATAAAGCTTCGTCCAAGTCCTTTGAAGTCCAAACATAGGTCGCATCCAGAGTTGTTGCGATAGCGGGAGCAATGGATCTTACCCCCTCACGTTTTAGCCAGAACCCGGATGACCCACTTCACCTGACGTTGATTTGGGAAGGTGAATCATGATCAAAAAGCTATTGGAGATTCACCTCAGTCGTGAAACACATCAACCACATAGTCCATGAAAATGAGAATTTCTGTCAGTTACGAGAATTATTACAGTAGTTGCTTTTTTCGCACTATCAATGGCGTCTACAATAGATACTGTAGCATAAAAATTTAACTACGACATATGAACACCCCAAAAACGAATATAAGAAGATAAAAACATTCTAATTTTTTTCAAGAGCCTAAATGATTGATGCTAATTCGCTGCCTCTTTCTTCCACGTTTTTTGGAGAAAATTTTTCGAGCATATTTATTTTCAAGTTTTCAGGCTTTCTAAGGCTTGTTATAGTTTGAAGATAGATAAACAATTTGACGCCTTTACTTGTAAAAGAAGCAAGAAAAAAGTCAACTAACAAGTAAGTCTATATCTATGGTAAGTCTACCAAGTTGTCGATGCTCGTAAAAACCAAAAAGTTCTTGTTAGAGACTGCAAAAACAGCTCAGAAATGATGCGCAGTGATTACCTAAATGATAAATAACTACGATGGTAAGATTACTTTATTTATGAGATACAATGGATTTAAATGTATTTTTTGTCAGCTAAAGTGAATCAGTAGATATATTAGACAGATAAATCCCTCATATCTTACTGCTAAGAAGACATAGAAAAAAACCGACGCCCTAGGTCGATTCTCCATAATCTCAGCTTTCGAATGTTATATAGCCTGTTGACGCTTCGAGCCTTGGCTTTAAAAAAATGCTTGCTCCGGTGATCTATAAAAGCCAACATTGGAGGAGTTGCGTGGAGCAAGCTATTAGTACCTCCACCCCGTTTTTGAAAACTGGTAAGTTTTCTTGCCTAGCAACCTAAACACCATCCGAAAGCTTAGGAAAAGGGGATTCGACCTAGTCTGTCGACTTCTTTCTAGCCCCCCTCTACCGAGAAATACACCGCATTTTATCTAGAAACATGTCCTTTTTCAATGGCAGATTTCTGCCAAACGAAGACCTAATAATTGCTGATTGTCTATGTTACAGAGCAAGTCTTCATTAACAAACGTAGACCGTCGACTTTCTCGTAGCGTTCATTTGGAGAGCAGAAAGTGAGGATATAAAATCAGTTGATTTTTGAAGTACATAAAATCCCTCACATCTTGCGGCACAGAAGACCTAGAAAAAAGTCGACGGTCTACCTCGATTCTACATGACTTCAGCTTTCGGATGGTAGGTAAGTTGCTGGGGCATTTTGCTTTCAGAGCTCACTTACCCCCTTCACCTTACAAGGATGGAAATAGCAGAGACCCCCTTCACCTAGAGAGGGTCCGGCTCCCCCTATCGCACCTATGGTCGCATCTAATTGCATCTGATTCTATACAGTATTCGTAATTATGCCCACTTAATTCCCCTCCCCCCCCCCTCTTATGCCAAACCCACCCACGCGGCTAGTTTGCAAGAAACTGAGAAGAAAGTAGCTTACGAACATGGTTCCGCTCCGACTTTATATAAAAAGTGTACTCTTTTTATTTTACACTCCCTCAATGATGTGGGCATCATTCACAGGCATGTTTTTTTTAGATAATGCTGAGCTGTATATTATATCAGTGCTCATAAAGCCTGATCCTTGATCCTCGATAAATTTGTCCATGAATTCCAGCAAGAGATATAAAAATTATGTAAATCGTTTGCAGAGGTCCTTTATTAAAGCAATTCCCTGTGCCTTAGAGTTGAATCCATGACTTGATTAAAGTTTTGTAGTAGCTGACATCCGTATTTATCTAAATGTGCATATGTTAATACGGCTTAACATTTCATTGCTCTTTCATCTATTATAAATCAGAGCTTCCGAGCTGATTGACATTCATTTGTCGATGGGAAATTTTCCGTTGTCATAAATATAACTACAGGGTGCGCCAGAATTATTTACGCGTGTATTCTGCAATGAAAAACTCGTGCAAGACGAGATCAGCGATAGGTAAAGAGCTTTTTTGTTTTAGTAACGTTTTATCATTAGGAGGCTATAGCATGAACTGCAATTTCTAAGTGTGGCTTGAGAAAAATCACAAAATATTTTACTGATTGAGTTGCGCGCAACACGCGGGTATTTTTTCAGACAATCTTCTGCTTCTTCATGGAAAAATGCTCCTGTGATGCAGGGAACAAACCACATGATAGAGCAAGTTTTCGGCTGCAACATACTGTAAGCGCAAAATCTAGGATGATCTGATAAGAAAATTATCGGCGTTTAAACAAAGTCATGTGTTTGCTGCATGCTCAAAAACTGCACATTTTAGGGGTGCGAATGAGCGAAAGAAAAGCAAATTGACTCCAAATCAGGATGGAGTTCAATTTCATTAGTGGGAAAAAGCTCAGTATTTATCTAAAAGCTTTGTGAAAGCGCTATAGCATTGAATCCGGTAACAGGCACGTTTCTGTAGCTTACAAATCTGATTTGAAAACAAAACGGCCACTGACACGCGGGTGGCATTTGCGTACTTTTTGTTGCCATTTTTGGAAGAATAAGTGTTGGCGAACGCAAGTACTACGATTCGATAGCGAAAAGCCCCTCTACAGTGTGGACATAAAATCCCTTGAAAATGTCTCAAGAATCTCCAATTACGGAATGAATTATAACTACAGAAAATTAGGTTTTTGCGCCTTCCAAAAGTATTAGTACAACAATTTCATTATTTGCACAAAGGTGTGGCAATCACCTTGGGCTCATAAAATGCTATTTTGTAGGGAATGATGGCAGCATTCTACCACATGAATTTTGAAATCAAAACTATGAGTAGTTTTTTGCAGCACTCATACAAAGTTGACGCAAATACTTTTAACGCAATGGCACAATTTGCTGGCATGGCCTCCTATGCGATGATTACCTGCTTGCTTGCCTACCTGCACTGCTGGTAGCTTTGCTTCCAACACTTTCCCACAATCTGTTCCATACGAATGTATTCCAATTAAGTAATATCTTCCTTCAATTTTTGCAGTCACACCACCTCCGCTGTCACCCTGAAGAAGCCTAGGTGTAAAGAAAAACAACAAAGCACTGAAGGCAAGCAAGCACTCATCTAATAATTTTCAAAGCGGTGCTTTGAAGATTATCAGATGAACACAGCACTAAAAGGACTTTCCCATTTCATGCTATAACTCTGGATATTGTAGCCCACGCAGTTTACTTGTCTGGCTCCATCATTCGTATGTGTGCCTTTGTTAGTGCCACGTCCCTTACTTGTTACTTAAGCATTGCAGCAGATAGGTTCCTAACTCTATTGCTCCATATGAAGAATTCTGTTTTGTCTCATTTTCTGGCAGCATTTTTCGTATGTGTCAAGGCAGATGATTTGCCAATGGCTTACCGAAAAAAAATAATTTATTTTTCGGTCAATCTTCGTCCAAAGCAAGGGGTTTTTTTTGCGATGGCAATAAATACTAACTTTCCGCAACTACATATGATTACATTATGCATGCACATGTTTAGTCCCGTATGCACGTACACGTTCCCGCGGGGAGGGAAGACAATCTGAGAGGGGAAGCGTCATATCTCGCTAGTCTACATATCTTTCTCCTTCTTTCTCTATCTTGCTTATGTAGTTTCTCGTACACTGATGCCTGCGCATAACGGATGCCAAGTTACTGCCATACAAGATTAGATATTCACTATTTGATCTGAACCCCTGGGGATCCCCAGGGGATCACCCCACATTTTTAAAGTCATTTATCTTCCTGAAAAAATCAATGAAAACGCTGCAAAATTGTACTGAAGATATACTACGGTACTGCTGAGCATGTTTTCGACAGAAAAAAAATGGAATCTGAAAATTTTGATTTTTTCGAGATCCCTGGCTCGCAACAGCGGTTCATCGGAAATTTTGATATCTTGAGGTTTCACTCATTTCTATTATAAACATGTTTAGCAGTGCTGCGGTATATCCTCAGTACAGTTTTGGAGCATTTTCATTGAGTTTTCAGAAAGATAAATGACTTTGAAATTGTGAGGTGATCCCCTGAAGATCCCCAGGGGATCAGACGAAATTGTGAATATCTAACCTTGTATGGCAGTAACCTGGCATGCGTTATGCGCAAGTATCAGTGTATGAGAACCTTCAAAAGTAAGACATAGAAAGAAGAAGAAAGATGTATAGACTAGCGAGATAAGACGCTTTTCCTCTCCGATCCCCTCCCCGCGGGGATGTACGTGCATACGGGCCTAAGATCACAATGTAGAAATTCGATCATTCAAATATTTTCGCATTCGAAATTCGATCTCTGAAATTTTTCTATTTTTGAATAATATTCGAAGCTCAAATAATTGAGAAAACGGGATCGAATAAAATTCAAAAACTTGAGTAATCAAAAAAACGAGGATTCGAATAAGATTCGAAAATCCGATCAATCAAAAAACGGTGTTTGAATAAATATTATTTAAATGTTTTATTCGAATGTTTTATTCGAAATTGTATTCGAATGAACCCCGTAATTAGATTCGAATTTGTTGCAGGGCCAACTGCTGAATATCAAGCTCGATTCGTCTGCTGTTTTTTCCGCAGAATTCGGTAATGCATTTTTTTTGCAACAGTGATGACCTTCGAGTGTGTGGAAAGTCGCATTCCTCCGACTGCTTGCGAAGTAAAAAAGAATAAGAGTAGATCTTAGCTGAGGCTTTTTCTATCATACCCTATAATAAAGCGCAGGGGGGACCATCCGACGTCAACAACCGGCGAAGGATGTTTGCCCAGATCTATGAGTTAATTCTTGCACTTTCGCCCGCTTCCATACTGTTTACCGTTACGACTCAACCTAAGTGCAACCTATGACGTCATCAATGGTATGATGTTTTGTGCCATCTTCAGTGTTCCATCTGCTTCGTGATGTTTACCACGACGTCAAGCTAAGTGCAACTCCAATTCCGTCGCCTACAAAGCTGTTAGCGGCCGATTTCAACCGCTTTACATTTTGCTTTATTTGCGAAAATGAGCAAACGCCGTAGCATCTTCAGGCCGGTGATAATACTTAGCATTAATATCTGCATTACATCTCCTCAATTCTTTCCTAATTGGTGCACAATATCTTCACTGTTTTTATCAATAAACGTATCTTTACGTGCAAAAACAAAATTTACTCTCAAAATTGAACCTTTTTTCAAAATCAAGCAAAATCGTAAAACTCATTGTACATTTTCCTATTGTGCACCATTCCATTTTCGGATACATTACCAAACGTATCTCATTGAAGATTTTCAAATTTTACTCTAAAAAAAACTCTTCCACGAGAATGAAGCAAAAGAAGCGAATGAAGCATGCTGAACGTATCTCCACATGAAAGAATTTTAAACACACTGTGAAAATCAAACCTTTTTGAGAATAAGTAACATTAGCACATACGGGACAATAGCAAGCGCGATTGGTTTGCAATCTACAATCTAGCGTTGAAGATATTTGAAAAGGCCTACGCTTTGTGCGATTTTGTAACAAAATAGACAAGTCGGAAAGCTCTCTTTGCAAAACCAACATGCAATTATATATAAGAATCATATATCAGTATAATTGCCTAAAAACGTATAGCTTTGATATACCTATGTGAAAAACCGGACTTTTTTGTAACACATACTGTTTAATTTCAACGCCGAAAATCCCTCCTTTTCCAAAGTCAAACATACATCATAAAAACCGTCTGCTATTTGCAAGCGTTGCATTTGTGTCAATATAAAGAAATCCATTACACGTTTCTTCCCTCTTTTCAAGTGCTCACCAATGCTCACCAAAGTCAAAACAAAGTCTAAGAAGCAGGGGTAGTAGTAACATCGAGGTAATCCGAAATTACTTGATTTTGTTACGCTATTTTTAGCCCTGAAAGTAGCTAAACATTTTGCGAGCAAGAAGGCGTTAATTCGTGAGCGTCATTTTGGGCAGAAATATTGTCATGAAAATCTTACTGATAAAATATCTGAGAAGCTTGCGAACTTTTTTTTTCAATTTCTACCGCCCTGCTATCGAAAAGCTCCTTCATAAACATAAGTGATGTAATCGTGTAAGTATTGAGATGGTATAGGAGGCACACATGCGTGTGTTTCCTCAAACACTGTTTTGTGAAAAAGAATTTGTGACTCCCCAACACTATTTTTACTGATGTAACAACAAGTTCGCAGAAGGCACCTTAGTTGCATCTAAGCTCCAAATGTTGGATTTGTTTCAATACCACAAATGCGTTTGTTCAGGAAATTGCATCGAATCAAATCTTGAAAATTCTATTTTGTCTTTCTCTTCAGAGCCCTGTTTTAGATATTCTTTGTACTGTATATGTTCATAAAATGCATAATATTTTTTAAGCAAAAAAGCTGCAACTTTTAGCCTTTTTTTACCAGATAATTAGTACTTTTTTTAATTGGAAGAAAAAAGCACCGCATGGTTGTTTGGTTCCACCGTGTTTTTATGTTTCCTATCGTGAAGAAGTTGCGCCAAATCCGTATTTGGTGAACGTAGTCTGTCCCATTGATTTTTGAGTGTGATCTCATCCAAATTCTTGGAAATCCTTTTTTTGAAAGTTCTTCACAATTTTTGGCTTCTTGAGCATGGAACTCGATCCATGATTTTTTTGTAAGCGCACTTTGTTTGAATCACCAGTTCCAAAAAGATTTGTTAGCCTACACTAAAAAAGTTGCTGTTTTCCTAAGTCCTTCACCAAGTGCTTAGAAGTTTTTCATCCTACGAAAGCTGCGCCAAAACCATCATTACGGAAGGTCATCAAATTTCAAGGCGAAAGTTTTCCATCTTGAACAAACCGCACCAAATTCGCTAATTTTTTTCCAATTTCTGACGATTCCTTAACAGTTTCAGCAAGAAAGTTACAGTTTTCCAAACTCTGTTTGTGAAATGCTAAGCAAGTGTATCTTCTAAAAAAAACACAACAAATCTGTTCTGTCTTGAAAAATTCATCATCATACTCTATACTGAAGCGCGAGCACGCTTCTATCCGATCGACAGCACTGTTCAAACTTTTCAAATAGCTAAGACTGTAATATAAGAAACAATACCTCCAAAAGAATAACAGCGTGGTGACGCAAATAGCTCTGAAACTTTATTAGACATGGATGCAAAGACTTCTCCCGGCTAGGAAAGCGTGCATACTAACAAAAGAACTCTACCTCTAAATTTTCTCAAAATCCGAAAAGTTTAAGAGTATTCAAAAGCACATTACCGCGATCGTGACCAAAGTTTCTCGGAAAGGCTCTATGTTAATTGAATCTCCCGCTAACATCTCAGCTATGAAGAGATAAGATAGACTGTTGGCTTCACTAACCATCAACTAAAGCTATACTATAAGAAGTGTAAAGCTGCAAAATTTAGCGTGGTTTAAGGTATATCACAGTCTCAAAATCGTACGAGCAAAAAAATTGCTTCAGCTGTCATTTAAAACACCTTTTGTTAGCAGGTATCTTCATAGAATTTACATCCGGAGTCTGCTAAGATAAGCCGAAAGTTAATGATTTTGGAGCGCTTTGGAAGAAACTGCAGGAGTGTTGGTCACTTTGTAGAATTAAAGGAGAATTTTGATAGTCAAATGTTTTGGAGCTGAAGTGGTTGCACGCTTCTAAGAATTTTGTGGAGAGAAAGAGGGAGTGTTTGGATTTCTGAAATTCTGGATTTGGAAATTTGAAAGGTGGCTAGATATATCCAAGAATGTTGAATTAAATGTTCTTTAAATCAGTTTTGCGAAGAAATAAAAATAGGACGTTCAGAGGAAGTGGAAGTTCCGCAGTAGAAGGACACTTAATGTGAGGAGCAGGGGCCAGATAGGAACAGTCGGGAGTGTACATGGCTGGGAGTTTTCTGTCAAACGTGAGAAGGACACTCCGGCATAGAGTTTTATGGCACCCGAGGATCTTCGCAAGATGTGGGAGAAAAAAATTTTGGAATACAGTATGTGTCAATCGCTATCAGGCGTAACGTTGGCCGAAACCGCGCACCAGCGCAAAGAGTTCGCGCTGCATTTGCGCGTTTATAGTGGTCCCG